TGGATAGTGTAGGGTTTAATAGGCTGATAGAGCCTTTTTTGTATCTTTTGCTTCAAGTAATGAAAGGTGACTTTTTACTTGCATTTCGTAACCATCTGGCGTATTGTTGAATTGTTGAATCCGGAGTTCACGTAGAACCGTAAGTTAAATACCGCCGTCTTAATGAGAACCAATCTAAAGTTGGTCTTTTCCTAAAACCGAACAAGGCCCTTTGAAACGAGTTAAACAAGTTAAATTGTCTTTTTTTTTTTTTGAAAAACTGGGAGAGTTCCCTCGGATTTGATTGAACTGAACCGAGTGGAGTCATTCAGACTTGATTGCTTTTGGACAACAACCGAATGGGTCCTTCGGGATCAATACCTTTTTGAGTCAAGGCCGAACGGAGTCACACAGAATTGTTGCCTGAGTCATAACCGAATGGATTAACCGAATGGGTGCTTAGGGATCCCAGCAGGTCATGCGAGTTAGGGATATTAACTTTCTGGAACTTGCCGCAATCATACCACATTTCATTTAGCCTTGGGTCATGCGAGCAAGGGATATGAACTTTCTGGAACTTGCCGCAATCATACCACATTTCATTTAGCCTTACTATAAATCTCCCGACGGGTCATGCGAGCAACATAATCAATTTCCGCCAACATAATCAGTTTTCCAACAGGTCGGCCAAAGTCCAGCAGGATTAAAACAGAGATGGACATTAGAAAACAACATAATCAATTTTCGTCACCATTAATCTTTATTGTTGTATTGAATTTTAATAAATTTATTTAGTTATATTTATAATGTTAATATTCAATAAATTTAATTGTTTGATGTTAGTTTCTGAGTTTTGGTATTTGATAAGTAAAAATTGAACCAATTTTTTTTATAGACTAGAACGACCCGTTCCAGATTCAGAACGGCTAGTTCTGATTCCACTTTTTATGTGCTAATTTTGAATCCGGAACGGTCTTTCTAATTCATTCGTCATGTATTATTTTTTAATCTAGAACGGTCCATTCTGAAATCAGAATGACTCATTCTGAACATGAATAGTAAATAGTGCTAGTTGAAAAATAAATTTGCACAATTGCTATTTAGCTAAATTTTTTTAAAATAATATTATTTGAATAAAAAAAATTCGAAATCTAACGAGGTAGAGATAAATGAAGACGACTTGACTTGACGTCAACCCGAAGGCCATAATTAACCAAGAAAATCCAAAGAGGACTCCGTGTTACACGTATTGGTTTCTGGACTTGTTATACTATTGAAGAAGAAATCATGTTTATAATAAATGGAAAATTTCTAGAATAGAGTGGTGAAAAAAACAGTGAGATAAAATAACTAAAATAAGATAATTGATATGAAAGTCAAATAAAATTAAAAACTAATATAGTATTTTGTATAAATACGGTATGAGCGGAAATAATATATAACTCTTCTCTAAAAAAAAAACTTATTGACAGATTAAATATCAATATTAGCCCACCAATACCGTTGAATGTTAATTAAGTTTAAGTTCACATGAAAATATCTTGGTACTCATTTTATAAAATCCATTCATATATTATAAATTAGTATTCGTCATTGAGGGAAAAAAAAATAGTGTTCGTTTCAAAACAAGAAAATTTTCAAATTTTCTTTTCTTCTATTAAATTATTTTAGAAGCTAATATCTTCTTCATTAAGGTAAATTATTTTTCTTACAATTACAAATTAATTTACTATTTATATCTTTCTATTTTTTTTCTCAAATGGTATTATTTATATTTAATTATTTTTAAATCAAGTTTTAAAGTATCACATCATATTGGTAGATATATCAATTAGGTGACGTCATTAAAAAAATAATTTTCTAGCTTTCTTCTACTTTGAAAAAGCCTTATCCATTAATTTTGAATGATAATATACATATATATATATATATATATAATAATTTAATTTAATATAA